TGTGTATATATATATATATATATATATATATATATATATATATATATATATATATATATAATTTTAATACAAATGAAATAAAAATATTTTAAATATTTTAAACAAATATATTTGGAAATTGCATTAAAATTACATTAAAATATAATATTTTTTATCATATTAATGTGTAAAATAATGAATGGAAAGGTATTAGACAAGGGGGGGAAAATGTACCAGAATTGTGATTGGTGCCCTTAAAAAAATAGGTGCAAGTTGCACCTTGGCTTATGTGAGATGTATTTTATTACCTGGCTATCTCTCCTCCTGTCCTTTTCAGGCTGTTGGGGTTGCGGATTAGTTTGTCCAGCATGTTGACAATTTGGCTGAACTTTGGCCTTTCGGCACGCTCTTTCTGCCAGCAATCCAGCATCAGCTGGTGCAAAGAAACTGGACAGTCCATGGGAGGAGGCAGTCTATAGCCTTCCTCAATTGCCTTTATAACCTGAAGCAAAGAAACATCCAAATAGTGTTAATCAACAGCTGAAAATGTATACACTGAAGCTCTGAATCCACTTCATCCAACACTTACATCCTGGTTACTCATGTCCCAGTATGGCCGTTCTCCATATGACATCACTTCCCACATGACAATGCCATAACTCCATACATCAGAGGCGGAGGTGAACTTCCTGTATGTAATGGCTTCTGGAGCGGTCCAGCGAATAGGTATCTTGCCTCCCTGTGATTGATAGGTTCCTGTTATTTCCTTTCAAAAGAGATAGCAAACACATGCATGGAAGTTAATCACACACACGCATGCACACACACACATACATGCGCTCAGCACTCAATTTTGGGGTTAGTTTGCTAATTTCTATTACACTTGAAAATATACTAGCACTTCATGTAAGCACATGCGGGTTAAATGCTGAAGATAATGGGTTAAAGCAGTGCTGTCCAAACTCGGTCCTGGAGGGCCGGTGTCCTGCAGAGTTTAGCTCCAACCCTAATTAAACACAAATGAAACAGCTAATCAAGCTCTTACTAGGCATAGAAACTTCCAGTCAGGTGTGTTGAGGCAAGTTGGAGCTAAACTCTGCAGGACACCAGCCCTCCAGGACCGAGTTTGGACAGCCCTGGGTTAAAGCTTGTGTTAGGGTTGCAAATGCAAGGCTGCAAACAAATAATATGCATCAAACTTACCCTAGTAGTGTAAGCAGCATCTGGATCTTCCTCCAAAACTCGAGACATGCCAAAGTCAGACACTTTACACACAAGGTTACTGTTAACCAGGATGTTGCGTGCCGCCAGGTCACGGTGGACGTAGCTCATGTCAGATAGATACTTCATTCCTGAAGCGATTCCACGCAGGATGCCCACCAGCTGAATTACAGTAAACCGCCCATCGTTCTTCTACGAAGGAACATTAAATGATGTTTAAGCCAATACAGTATGCAAGAGTACTAAATGACTGCTGGGTCGAAAAGATGTGCTTGAAATACAACACAAACAAAACTCACCCTGAGAAAGGCATCGAGGGATCCATTCTCCATGTACTCAGTGATGATCATAACTGGCTTACCTGTGCAGAGAGAAAAAAAGAACATGTAAGTGAAAAGTGACAGTAGAGACATTGATAATGTTACAAAATAATTATATTTCATATAAATGCTGTTCTTTTGAATTTTCTATACATCTAAACATCATGAAAAAAAGAATGCATCACTGTTTGCACAAAAATATTAAGCAGCAACTGTTGCTAAAATATTGAGGACCAAATCAACATATTTGTTTGATTTCTGAAGGATCATGTGACACTAAAGACTGGAGTAATGGCTGCTGAAAATTCAGCTTTGCTATCAAAGGAACAAATTACATTCAAATATATATTAAAATAGAAAAAAACATATTTTTAAACAAATAAATGCAGCCTTGGTGAGAATAAGAGATGTCTTTCAAAAAACATAAAAAAAACCCCCAACAAATTTCAAATGCTAGGCTATATACATGTTGGAACTTTAACATATGAAAGCATTTAATTTGCTTACACTTAATTTTAACTTTTCAATTTCCATTGAGCAGAACGAAGCAAGCAGATCCTTTGTATGTGTATAATAGCACCTGATTGGCTGCAGTTTGTCCTATTTAGAACCAATCAGAGTTTGTGGATCTAGGTCCTGAACCAATTATCCGCTTCAATCATCTGTCTTCAAGAGCAAAAACAGTCAAATAGTGACTGAAAACTTTTAAGTGCATTGAAAAATGCAGAGATTTCATGTTGTTTTTTTACCGCATGCACTCAAGGCACTCTGCACACATCAGCACATTTGAATGACACTTCCCAATCCCAAGCCCTAAAGAGTCCATCTGCTAGCCCCTCCTCTTTTCTCACACTCCCTCTTCTCTTCCTCTTCGCTCCTATTTGTGAGTGGGATTTCTGTGTGGGTTTGTTTACTGAATGCAGCCGTTGCTGGAGGCTATCAGGGCTGGATTCCCACATTACCTGTCAGTCAGTACCAAGACAAGGCAATGCTATGGCAACGCAGGCCCCTCTCACGGAGCCAAAAGGAAGGAGCGCAGGGGCTTCACAAAAGAGGACAATGGCACACGCACACACACCTACACACAGCCGCTTACAAACGCAGATGCACATACGCGCTTCACCTCAGAGGAATCATTTCAGTGTTCTAGCGGTGCCTTCATTATGCAAATACAATCTTACATTTAATGCCAGCGCATAAAAGACTGCGGACACCAAGCCCGTCTGTGAATGCTTTCTGCGGAGACGGCTGGCATCCTGCTTCTCTCCCGCTCTCTGAGGCTTAGGGGCATTTTGTCTTTATTTATTTAGGACAATTTCTACATCATTAGTAATTTATTTAACAGGTTTAATTGGCCCGGTTGGAGGCGTAGGCTACGAGAGGGCTGCCATTGTCTGTTTGTAATAACAGTTATCCTGAAGACACTACTTCTGCCATGCTGAGGATTATGGGAGAAGGGCTGCGAATAACAAACAGCACTCCAACGCTTCAAACTAAGCCAGCTATGAGACACCAGTCCTGTTAAAGGAAAAGTTCTGATCACAATGGTTTCATAAATGTTCTTAATTTTACCTCATAATTCTAAAAATAATAAAATAAATGAAAAATAAATTAATAAAATAAAACAAAATAGTCCAATTCAGTTTGGTCCAGTTAATGTGCATGCATAGTACAAACAAACTCTATCAAAATGGCAAATGGCTCATGTAAGGCGTACTTCGATTCCTAGGATCACCATTTTTTATTTTTCATGTATTTTTCCATGAGTGGTCTCCTTATGTCTCTGTCTTTGCTCTCTGTTTCATTCCTGTTCACTTTCTCTCTCTGTAACCCATCTGTTGGCATTGTCTTTACTAATACATCAGAGAGGATGGGAATTTGCCAGGGCTGTCTGGAGAAAAAATGTGACTCGGTGGGATTGTTACATGTCTGCAGAAGCCCCTGCCTATGAACGCAGCTCTCTTCTATGCAGTCTACCAAAACAAACTCAAAAAACACACACACACATCTTCATCTTTGTGTTTCTCTTGAGCTCCCGAGCTGCCAGAAAAGCACAAGAGCCATCAGCGTCAGAAGACACTAAGGGTGTTCTTCAGTCCAGCTGTCAAATGCAAAGCCATCTAATGCAAATCCCAGCTCCACGATCATACACACACAGGCACACACCAGGTTCTCCTCATATTTGTTATGCACGGTGAGGTCTGGCCACAACTACACCCTGGAGGTTTCTTAAACACACATATGAGAGAGTCAACTTTCAATCAATAACAAGTTATTAAAGGGTTTGATGTCAGGTCTGCCAGCCGGCCAAGATTCCGTTCTGGTAATGGGAAGGGTGCATTACAAAAGAAAGGGTTGATTTTCATCAAATTAAGGAATGGAGAGTATGTCATTTCTTCAGCGTGGTTCCAAAATGCATTTAAGATACAAACAGGAGGCAGACATCAACAGTAAAAAAAAAATAAAAAGCAAAGCAGTCTAATTTTTAATAAAAGGCTTTTGATGGCTAAAAGTCAAAGCAAAAGTAAAAAACCTAAAGGAATGAAAACCATCAGCTCTACAGCAGAGCTTCAATGGGTGGCCAAATAAGCTGGCAACACAGCAAACAATACTTTCCTTAATAAATATTTTTGTCTTGTTTTCCAGTAAAAATATGTAAACATATTAGGTGCTTGGCATATCACAAAAGAGTTGTTAAAAGTTACATAAGAAGCAAAACCACATACGACTTTATTACTCGTTATTTATTTTTAAAGTAATAAAAGTATTTTATTAAGTATACTATAAATAATAAAGTATTGTTTCTTGTTTTAAAGTATAAATCCTACCAATTTAATGAGGTTCATGCTTTAAGTAAGAAATAATAAACAATAAAAAAGAGAATTTAATTTAATTAAACAAAATGTAACAAAAATCATCATGCATCACTTTGTAAAAATACTTTTTATGAAAGATGGCTATAGACAGTGAAGCACACAGCTTGAATTGTGAGATCAACGAGGTCATGATTTGCAAATGATATGCAAAACCAGAACAAATCAGTTTGAAAGGATGTGGTCACAGTAAATGAGTAGCAAAAAAAACCTCACATTTAGTGACGACTCCCTCCAGTCGGATGATATTGGGGTGGTCGAACTGACCCATGATGCTGGCCTCGCTCAGAAAGTCCCGCCTTTGCTTGTCGGTGTATCCTGCTTTGAGGGTTTTTATGGCTACGCAGATCTCGCGCTTTCCAGGCAATTTGAGACGACCGCTGCACACCTCCCCGAATTCTCCTTTAAACCGAAAAAGAATCAGAAATGTCTGTGGTACATAATGACCATGAGATATCTCTGGATCCGTGGGCTAACATTTCACTGTAACATTTGTGGTCTAGCTACAGTACACTCAGTCTGAGACAGACGGAAAGGAAAACAGCAGGTCGTTTGCTCACCAATGCCGATGACCTTTTCAATCTTGATGCAGGAGGCGTCGATTTCTTTAGCGAATTCACGGACTGCTTGGTTGGGGTCCTCATAGGTGAAGGGGTCCACATAGATCCGAACCCCTGTGGAGAGACGCAGAGAGGTGCCTACATGTTAGGAGGTTAAAAGAAGAGGAGGGGAGGATAGTTGGCAGACAGACAATATGATGAATATACAACATCTGTTTTCCATTCTCCTCCCTCTCTTGTTGGCTTGTCTGTCTTCTACCACATTGAGAACATACAAACTCCTCTTCTTATTTGAAACTTTAACTTAGATGATACATGCATATTAGAGAATGTGTCATTGTGTATATGTGTTTGCATGGCCGCAGCATTACCTGGATGTAAATGCCTCTCCTCATCAGAATCCTGTTTGGCTTTGCTGTATTTGCTTCTCCTGTTAACAGAGAGATGAGAGGGATTTTTAAATCACATAAAATAGAAATCACAAATAAGATCTCTTTTTTATGTCTCTCTTTTTCTAACAATAATTAAATTCTTTGAGATTTAACAATGTCAAAATTTTTTATTGTTTTTGGATAACAAAGTGTGCAATTTAAAAGTCAGACGGGTAAATTAACTTTTTTTGCATTCATTATTTTACTTTTAACTATTATTTAAACACATCCTAACACAGGCTTTTCACCTTCAAGGCTAGTGATGAATGTTTTATAAATATATATATATATATATATATATATATATATATATATATATATATATATATAT